AATGATTGCTTCCAACTCTATCCATATATCTGAAAATTTCATAATTTCATTTGTTCTTATAGATGAATTATTCACATTTTCATTATTCTTTCATCAGGTATGGGCACTTAAACCATTTCTATTTTCTGGTTATTGTGAATAAAGCAACAAAGACCATGGAGAAGAAAGCTCTTTGCATGGCCACCAGTAGTACAGCTGGATCACATGGTAGTTCTATTTCTACCATTTTGAAGAACCTTCATACCTCATGCTGTGGTGATCTTCAACTATTAAAATATTTTCATTGCTACTTTATAACTGTAAGTTTGCTACTGTTTTTAATCATACTGTAAACATCTATGTTTTCCAATGGTCTTAGATGACCTCTGTGAAAGGGTCTTTGGCCCCAAAGGTGTCACGAACAATAGGCTGAGAACCCCTGTCTAGAGTAAGATGAACTTTCAAAGAGGTTTAATTTGCAAGTCTTTTTGGCCAAAGATGTTGAATATTTTTTTCTAGCTTCTTATTGGCTAATATTTTATTTATTTATTTATTTATTAAAGATTTCTGTCTCTTCCCCACCGCCGCCTCCCCTTTCCCCTCCCCCTCCCCCAATCAAGTCCCCCTCCCTCATCAACCCGAAGAGCAATCAGGGTTCCCTGCCCTGTGGGAAGTCCAAGGACCACCCACCTCCATCCAGGTCTAGTAAGGTGAGNCAGTAGGATCAAAAACCCATTGCCATTGTTCTTGAGGTCTCAGTAGTCCTCATTGTCCGCTATGTTCAGCGAGACCGGTTTTAACCCAGGCTTTTTCAGACCCAGGCCAGCTGGCCTTGGTGAGTTCCCGATAGAACATCCCCATTGTCTCAGTGTGTGGGTGCACCCCTCGCGGTCCTGAGTTCCTTGCTTGTGCTCTCTCTCCTTCTTCTCCTGATTTGGACCTTGAGATTTCAGTCTGGTGCTCCATTGTGGGACTCTGTCTCTGTCTCCTTTCATCGCCTGATGAAGGTTAATATTCAGGAGGATGCCTATATGATTTTCTTTTGGTTCTCCTTCTTATTTAGCTTCTCTAAGAACCCGAATTATAGGCTCAATGTCCTTTATTTATGGCTAGAAACCAAATATGAGTGAGTACATCCTATGTTCCTCTTTTTGGGTCTGGCTTACCTCACTCAGGATGGTGTTTTCTATTTCCATAAAAATATTTCTCAGACCAACAGTAAGGCAGCCAAAAGCTCTGCTAGACAAGGGAAGTATTCATCAAGTCTAATCCTTAGATGCAAAGTTACTGGCAATTGATGGCTTCTGAGGAAGGAGACTGAGCTTTCTTCAGGATGGGTCCCCTGGAAGGATATTCATGCTCCAGTAGACAGTCTTATACCCATGCACATAAAAGACAGCACTTAGTAGACTCAATGGGTTTTTAAAAAATTGTATGTGAGTTTGGAAGGGGAAATTAGGTTGGTGATGAAGCAGAGGGACTAGGGGTGGGCTTCACCAAAACCCATTATGCATATGTGTGAAATTTTCAAAAAAATAAAGAAAGAAATTTAATTTATGGATAATAATATAGAGAAAACTAGATATTCTGAAGAAGGCCAAGGGAATGAAAAAGTTAAAATAGAAATTTCACAAATAAAACACAAGACTATACTAACTTGTTATAACAGACTAATACTTCCTAGCAAAGGAAGATTAAGAAAGGCCATCAGATAAAGACACGAAACAAGGGAAAAAACAGATCATAGGATGTTTAATCAAGATGAGTTGCAAACACTGAGGAAACAGTCATAGCATGGAAGGTACTACATCTTCCTAATCTTCCTCCTTAGTAAGTCATATATATTTATATACCTTTAAGTAGTTTTCCTCTCTCACATCTCTCCTACACCAGTGTATATAAAGTTTGTTTGTGGTGTTCAGTTTTCTAATTTAATACACAACTGTCAGTCATGATCAGAACATTCTATCAGAATAATGAGGTCCTTATAGGGATTCCAGTATAGGAGATGGGATGTTTTATGTGGAATATCTGCTACAGAACAGAGACCCACAATGGAGCACCGGACTGAAATCTCAAGGTCCAAATCAGGAGAAGAAGGAGAGAGAGCACAAGCAAGGAACTCAGGACCGCGAGGGGTGCACCCACACACTGAGACAATGGGGATGTTCTATTGGGAACTCACCAAGGCCAGCTGTCCTGGGTCTGAAAAAGCCTGGGTTAAAACTGGTCTTGCTGAACATAGCGGACAATGAGGACTACTGAGACCCCAAGAACAATGGCAATGGGTTTTTTATCCTACAGCACGTATTGGCTTTGTGGGAGCCTAGGCAGTTTGGATGTTCGCCTTACTAGACCTGGATGGAGGTGGGTGGTCCTTGGACTTCCCACAGGGCAAGGAACCCTGATTGCTCTTTGGGCTGACGAGGGAGGGGGACTTGATTGGGGGAGGGGGAGGGAAAGGGGAGGCGGCGGTGGGGAAGAGACAGAAATTTTTAATAAATAAATAAATAAATAAACGAAAAAAAAAGATTTGAGCTTTTTTCCTGCCCTCTTTGACTTCCTGTCCTCACTATTTTTGATGATGAATTGTTTTATGAACCTGTGAAAAAAATAAACTCTTTTCTTCCCAAGTTAGTTTTAGTCATGTTGTTTCATGACAATGGTAGCTTTAACTAAGACAAAAGTTAAAAGACAATTTGGCATCCAAGGCCTTGCCAGATATGACAATGTCTACCCAGCGACTTTACCCTTTCTATCTCCTTACCCTTCTGTGCACCTCAATTAAGCTTCCAGCTAATTAGGGTGTAAATGCTTACACTATATGTGAAATTTTGAACCACTTATTCCGTCTTCAGGTCTCTTGTCATTTGGATAACTGGTTCTCATGTTTCTAGTCTCAAACTGAGACTTTTCATGTGACTATTTCTGTCATCACTCTAAATGTTCTTACTCTCACTCTAAACTGATTAGGGTATTATAGCTGTTCATTGTCTGTCATCCATACTCTTCCCAGATGTTCCTTTAAAGACTATACCAGATTGAATATGCTTCCAAGAACCACTGACACACTGTAGACATCTATGAATGTCAGATGAATCAGCATCAATAGAAATCTAGCTTCTATTCACATCATGATTCGAGATTATATTATTGTAAAGTTATAATTTAAACATAAAATTTGCTTCAGAATAAATGGTCTTCATTTTTGTAAAGCCTCAGATGCTGTCATAACGTGCTGAAAAATGCAACTGAAAAGTATTGGTTATAGGAAGGTGATTCTGGGAAGAAAAATACATAGACTCCTTCAAGGAAGAAGACAATCTGTGATCTCATGCTTGCTATTTGACTACATCTCTACCTTTTGTGCAATTGCTGTTTTTCTTCTGTTTTACAGTTTGTACTTTTTCTAATGATGAAGTCACTGAGGGCCAATTGTGAGTATGAAAGATGAAAGAAAAGATTAATATTCAGACTGAAAGTAATATTAACACAGCCAACTAAGCTATCTTAATTTCCCAATCCATCTTTGGTGCAGGAGTCAGCCTCTTTCTAAGAGTAAGTCTGTTTTTAATTATATATATATATATATATATATATATATGTATGTATATATATATATATATATATATATATATATACCATTAAACAAAATTTGTCTGCAGATCTGAAAAGAAGACAGCCACACTGGCCAACCTTGCAGAAGAGGGAGCAATGACGCATGCCTTTAAACCCAGGAGCCCCAATGATGCACACCTTTAAGCCCAGTAGCAATACTAGTTTGCCAGAGAAATCAGGTGGTAGTATTGCATTCCCTTAATCCCAGAACTAGAAAGGACTATGAGATGGGAGGAGACATCTCTCATACTCAGTCTCATTCTGAGATTCCTTGAAGCAGGTTAACCATTTTGGACTGAGGTAGAGGTAAGAGCCAGTGTGAGGTAGAGGTAAGAGTCTGGCTGGCTGTTTTACTTTTCGGGTCTTCAGGCTGAACCCCAGTTTCTATCTCTGTGTCTTTTTTTAATTCTGCTACAGCCTGGCTTGGCTTTTGAGTCCTAACCTTCCCCTAAGGACACACTTCCTCAGACAAGATTATTTAACTTTAATCCTTTACAAATAGTACAACATCCTTATGACTAAGCATTTTCATAGGTATACTCATAAGTATATGAGTCTATGGGGGACATTTTCATTTTAACAACCACATTCCATTCCCTGGCATCCATAGGATTATATTCATACAGATGATTTATATTTTATCTCATCTTTTGTGAGATTATTTTATTGCAATGGTTCAGAAATAGAGAGTGTACATTTTTTCAGAGATTGTACAAATTTGAATTCAACACTTACATTGAAATCCCTTGGCTATGTGGTCAAATCCCTTCAAAATTATTTGAATGATTCCAATTAGTGTCAGACACAAATGTTCACATGGACAATAATAACTTTATATACTTGGCAACTCCCTATGGAAATGTTTATTAGATTTTTCTGTACATGGTCAGCTCTAGAAGAAATTGTTAACTCTTACAGTGAGACATGGCATCTGCATGAAGTGAGTTCGGCATAAAGACAGTGTAATAATCTTTCACAGCTCTCCTTGGGGTTGGCCTACGTACAAACTGTGTTATTGCAGAAACTATTAGTTGTTCAAGTGAGCCTCTCCAAAAATGAACATGAATTTTATCTCAATTGGAACCACAACAACCTGCTGTAAAATTTATTAGCCCCTCTGGACCAGTACTTTAAACAAAGTAATAAAGTAATAAATATTTCTAGTTATCATACCATGGAAGTAGAGGCAGAGTTAGGAGAAAGTTCTATAAAATGTTGCATAGCTCCACTGGGCATCCCAATGGGACACAACTCAACAACAACACTCAACCTGTTATACGGCATCACAGGTACGTGTTATGCCATCTATTACTTCCTAGTTGACAGGACATTCCAGATTCTGCTGTTGATAATTGCATAAATGCTGATGAAGAACTCTTTCCTCCAGCTATGCTCATGAGTCATTAAGTTGCCAGTTTTGCTGTGAACCCAGAAAATTTCCCTAAAAGTTTCTGCCATGCCCCCTTCACCTCTTTATTCCTTAGACTATAGATCATGGGGTTCAACATGGGTGTCAAAATAGCATAGAACAGAGACATCAACTTCTCTTGAAGGACAGAGGGGCTGGAGTGGGGTTGGATGTAGGTGAAAATAGCCATGCCATAGCACAGGACAACCATAGTAAGGTGAGAGGCACAGGTATGAAAGGCTTTCCACCTTCCTTCTGTGGACTGTATCTTTAGGATGGTCGAGATGATCTGAATGTAGGACAAAAGAACCAAGAAGAATGGTGCCATAAGCAAGACAATGCTAGAAACCATAATTGCAATCTTATTGGAGGAGGTATCTACACAAGCCAGTCTGACCACAGCAAGGGTTTCACAGGCTATATGATCAATATGCTTATTGGTACACGTGGGCAACTGAAAGGTGATGGATGTATGCACAAGGGAGTTGATGAAGCCACTGATCCAAGATATGATGACCAGTCTCATGCACAGCCCCGCACGCATGATGACTGAGTACCTCAGAGGGTCACACACTGCCACATAGCGGTCATAGGCCATCACTGTCAGCAGAAGAAACTCAATCCCACCCAAGCCCAGAGAAAAAAATAACTGTGCCGCACAGCTCAGAAACGGAATTGCTTTGTGTGTGGCAAGAAAATGAGCCAGCAACTGGGGGACTATGCTTGTGGCATAAGACACATCCACAAGCGACAGGTTGGTCAGAAAGAAATACATGGGAGTATGGAGTCTGCTGTCCAGTCTGATCAGAAGAACGATGAGAAAATTCCCCAGCACTGTTGCCAGGTACATCAGCAAGAACAGAACAAAGAGAGAGACTTGAGTGTCCCAGTTACTTGACAGGCCAAGGAGGATGAATTCATGCATCCACGTCTCATTGTTGGGTTCCATTAAAAGCTATGATCTGCAAAGAGTATCAGAATAAAAAAAAAGTGCAATCAAATAATAAGGAGGTAAGTTTCTAATGTGATCTGCCAGCCTTTTAAAAAAAAATCTCACATCATTTGTTAGCATGCTTGATTCTAATATGCTTTTTATTGATTCTGTTTCAGAGACACAGGGCTATCGAAATGACTTTATAATGACTTGACAGGCTTCACAGGGGCAAGCTACACCCCTGAGATACAGCAATGCAGTTCTGTCAGCTCTATGTCATTAACAGTTCCTTTTATTCCCAGGCAAGGAGAAAACTAAGTGGCAGTATGAGCATAGAAGGTTAAGAACAGAGAATCACAGTTTCAAACTACCTCACATACATTGATTGCAATCCTGCTGGTACTGCAGTAAGCTGCAGGAAGACTGACTGTGAAAGTGGAAGGATCTGGAACCGGAGAACCTAGTCTTATTAGGGTATTTTATTTTCTTTAGCAGGTATTTGATTTCTGTTTGTTACAGAAAATTTAGTACTTTCCACGTATACTAAAGCACAAATGTAAACAGCTCCTGCGAGGACATGTGGGGACTGTTGTCACTGCTGGTATACTGCAGTACCTCAAGGGTGAGGAATATAACAAGAGTTCTCCTTGGGGCCTATGAAGAGGCAAATGAAATTTCCTGTCTTCAAAGTAGAAACAAATACATTGAAAGCCTTCAGCAGAAATTTTAGTATGTTTGATAAGATTCAGCTTCTTATAGTCTCCATATTCTGGGGGAAACATCTAGATGAAGTCTCTATCTTCATATGATTCCCCTTCTAATCTGATTCCATTAAGAGTCTGTTGTCTGAAATTGAACTGAAAATAAAACAAATGAGAATGTAGTCATGTGGGCCCTCACATCAAGGGTAAGAAAAGTAAGAAAGCACTCCCGGTGTCTGAGACAGGATAATACGGGAACCTTGGTAAAGCAGTGCCAGAAAATAGATTCTCTGCTCATTATATGTGCTTAGCAGATGCTTTGTCTTTTTTCTTTCTTTCTTTGTTTTGTTTTTGTCTTTTTGTTTTGTTTTGTTTTTGTTTTTGTTTCTTGAGACAGGGTTTCTCTGTAGCTTTGGGACCTGTCCTGGAACTAGCTCTTGTAGACCAGGTTGGCCCTGAACCCACAAAGATCTGCCTGCCTCTGCCTCCCAAATGCTGGGATTAAAGGCGTGCGCCACCACTATCCAGCTCACAGGTGCTTTTCCAGTAGAAGTAATATGGCACGCTATTGAACATCCGGGGCAAACAGGTGACCTTTTAAAGACATGTATAAAACTGACTCAACTACTGAACATCTGTCTCTTCACTAATGTCTTGGTTGTTTGAGTGTGCAATACAAAGGGAAATAGGAGACAAGGATGCAAGAGGGAAAGAAAGATGAAGGTCATTTTAGGGTTGCTGACCTATAAGTGAAAAACTTCCCATCTTAACTTTCTCAAGTGGTAAATGATAAGGCATGGGCCAGTAGAAATACTCAGCCCATGTACGGTCTAAATAGATGTGAACACTTCCCTCACAGAGCTCTACAATGTCTATGAGATTTCAAGTTTATCTTAGTGAGTTCTCACACAACTCATAATCTAGCCTTATTCTACTAGCTTTATCTTACTAATTATAGCAATTATCATATTACATGTTTTATAGCAAAGTATTTTATTGAAATAGGCTGCATATAGGTAAATACAGTTAACTAATACATTTATTGGATTAATTATGTTTATCCTATTGATATTATCACTCATAAGTAAGGCCATTGCTTGATTTAAAAAATTCTAGTAATTTTTTAAAAATTTTTTGCTTCTGAGATAAATTTGAGATTTTGAGTGTGTTGGCCTCAAGCTCACTACCATCCTTCAGTCTCCTAGGGGGCAGGTGCCACTGTTCCTAAATCAAGAGATTATCTTTTGAGGTAGGATCTGTAGTTGGGACTGGCCTCAGAATCTCTTGGTAACTCAAGATATCCTTGAAGTTTTTAATCTTCCTGCCTCTACCTTCCAATATCTAAGATTACAGTTGTGTATCATTATACTTGTTTTATGTGGTGCTGGGAATCAAATTCAGGGATCAGTCCAAGCAGTGTACATTTTCAGACACCCCAAATTAACATTTTCTATGCTCTAGGGCACCTTTGGGAAGTCTCTAAAAAAATATAGAATGTACAATTCAAAGCCAGGTGAAGAAGAAAAGATGGAATTTCCAGATTCCTTTAACACAGCTGTCAGTAAATACCATCATATCATAATACTGGTCTCTCTGGAAAAATATTCAAATGTGTTTTTCTAATTTCATAATGAAATTATGAGTGACGTGCAATGTAGCCCATGTCTATTTTTCTCATAAGGAAACAAGATCTTGATCTTTTCAGCTATGAATAATTTGTAGACTTCCCTTATCTCCATTTTTCATGAACACAAATATCTAAAGAAACACTATTAGAGCTTTTGTTGCGTTTGTCTATACAAACAAGGAAACAAAGATGTCTTAGCACAAGGATAGATGTGCAGTTGATACTCACAATGAATGTTGAACAGCCAAGAATGTATGCTATCTAGCTCAGATTCCTGTACAGGGATAATTTGTTATTGCTTCTCTGTCATTGCTAGGAAGGAAATACATACATGTTTTTCATAAATCTCTATCAAATAAACAAACAATAAAATCTTATTTCATTTTCTTTTGATTGAATATCTTCAGCATCAACAAACTTTAAAGCATGCATTTCTGCCCAGAAGACATTATGAAAGAAGGATATAATCTTGTGTTTAGTCTCTCTGGATATGAGGACCGGAAAGGAGAAACTTCTTGCTGTGTTTATGAATGGTGGTGAAAGTAGAGTAATCAATGAGCACCAATTAGTAAAACAGAGAGTATATTAGAACTACAGTATGTCCAATAAGAATACACTCTGGAAACTCACCTTATAAAGTTCTTCTAATGGCTGAAGTGTATCCTTATATGGAACATTTTCTTCTTCACTATGTGTTTAAGAATAAAATAATATTGATTGGGAGGTTTGAGGTTTGTGAGGTGAAGGTCCAGGAGAAGCCACTGTGCTCTGAATTCAGCCATCAGTTTCCCCTGATGATCCATACTACATCATGGTCCAGAACAAACCTGGAGCATTACATGGCAATGGGCTAAAGATGCAGGGAGAGTAGGAGAGATGTTGGTAGAAAAGAACAATTTTCTCAGTTAAATTGCTACTGTTGTTTCACCCTAGGAAAAATTATCTCCCTGTGATTCTTGCTTTATTCAGTAATTATTGGTTACATCAAACATCAAGACTCAAATGTTCTGTCAAAGACACACGCACAGCTGTTCAAATTCTTCAGACAGTTTTACATGACTCACATACCTAACTTTAAAGAATTAAATTTAGCTATGTCAATCTCTTCAATAAATTAAGTTTATTTCCTTCTCCATAGAAACAATTAAACTTTATTATACAATTTTAGTCTAAATCTGAATGAATTAAATATTACTTTCAGACATTGTAAGCCTTGATAAATTTACCTATCTCCCCATGTCTTCTCTTGTCTTTCCAGTCTATTGCTCCCTTATAAGTCCTTTAGCTAGACATATATGACACACAAAGGTCAGAAGGCAAAGATATGAGTACGAAAGCAGGCATGAAACCTGAGTTACTGCTTATTTACAGGGAGTAGGCGAGGTTTGCGTTCAGACGTTACAGCCTGCATTTCCTGAGTCTGTTTTGATCTAGGAGCTAGAGGACTGCCAGTCACACTGTGTGATAGGCCTGATTTCCAGCATATATGGATCCCATCCTAGAATTTTCTTTTTATTTCCCTATCTTTAAATAAATTTAATGGAATACCAAAGAAGTCAATATCTTAAATCCAATCAAACATATTTTCAGTGCTAAATTCTCAAGCAAAGATTTGGTGTTAAAGTCTGATCTTTTAGAATCATGTAATCAAGTATTACTCAACTATTTTGGTCTAATTCTGTTATATGGATACATACATATATGTCAAAGTATGTTATATAAATGTATATATAGACATATATCAGAGTAGTTGGTAACTTATGCAAGGTTCTCATTTACATCAAGCTCCTTAAATTTCTGTTTAATTCCCGAGAGGAAGGAGTAGAGTTGCAAACCATAGTATGTAGAGCTCCTTACCGTCTTACCTACCACACTCTGCCCATATCTAGGCACTGACAGAAATGGGAATTTGGAAGAAAGCATGAACAGCATCAGGACAAAGATGAGAGACCTGGTCCTTATACACTTACCAACACGCCAGCGGAAGCGCTCACTCTGCTGGTACCACACAATCATCATGTAGGTGCTGGGGATCTCTTCTGATGCCTCTCTTTGTGGTGTCTTCCAACCAGTTCTTGACTGAAGTTAGTTTTCCTCACTTCTCTGTGGGTACAGCACTCAGTTGATCTGTGTAAGTGTAGGGAAGGATGCAGTCAAGGAACCGCTTTGAGGAACCGCTTCCTTCGCACCAGTCATCACCACCTGAAAGGCTCCCACCTCACTGCAAACAATGTGCACTGACTATGAAAAATCATTTGATACTTCTCTCAGCCAACTGACTTGGGGACTTGTGTTCTCAGCCTTCACCCCACATCAAGACAAGTGAAATCTTGATTCGGTGATATTTCCTAGTTCCGGGTAGTATAAAGGGCATTCTCAATGCTCCACCTTTCAGGAATAGTCAAGAAAAACAACACTTTCCGTATATTAAAAGCACATGATCATATGCCTTGGATGAGCCTCAAATTTCCATTATGAACAAGTGAGATGCACAAGAGAGCCCGACACCCATGCCATAGTGACAATGCACTACTATTGTTGTGTGGAAGATGCCTTAAACCTGAAGAAGGAAAATGCTAAGCTCTTCTCCTAAGACAGTTTGCTTCTGCAGAATCTTGTGATGCTCCATTTGGTTTTAGTCACAGTTGGCTTCCTCTTCCGAGACTTCTACAATCTTAGCTGAGCCC